CAGGTGGTACAGGCTGTGAGGATGGTTGGCTGCAGCAGGCCCTGGGTTAACCGAGTCTATCAGAGAAGCAGGAGGGTGCAGGGGAGGGGCTGGACTGGGCAGCTGCTCTGTTCACCCTGTGAGACAGCCTTCCCCTCTCCTGGAAGCCGTATTCTTCCCTGCCATTCTCCTTGTGGGTCACACTCTTCCTGACGTTCTCCGCTCCGCACTTATCCCTTATTCTAGGTTACCTTCTCTCAGCGCAGTCTGGAGAAGCTCCTGTCATGTGCCAGCTACGCTGCCCAGTCTCATTAATTCTTCCTGCGACACAGTATTACCTCCCTTCTCTCTCTCATTCATTCTACAAATATTTATTAAACTTCTTGTATATATCAAACTCATGAGGTATGGTAAAAAAAAAAAAAAAAAAAAAGGCCAAAAAACCCTCATGAGTTAAGTGAGGGGGCCCATCAGGCTCCCTTATATTCTAATGTTCTAATTTTCTTATATTCTAATATAAGGAAAATCAGACAATAAGTAATAAACACAGACGATAAATGATATATTCATACATACAACAAATAATTTATTAATTTATACATATCTATACCAATTATATATTAATTTAGAAAGTGATAATAACTTTAGAAAACTTTAGAATAAGGTAAGGGGGCCAAGAAATGGCAGAGAAGAAGAGCAGTTGTTAAGGGAGTGGCCAGGATGGGCCTCCTGAAAGATGGCATCTGGACAAAGACTCAAAGGAGGAGAGGGATTGGTGTGTCTGGGGGAACAGTGTTTCTCTGAGACGGAGGCCCCAAGGTGGAACCATGCCTGTTAGGTTCAAGGGACAGAGGGAGGCTCAGGCCAGACAATGTCAGGGGAGGGGTCTGAGAGGTCACAGAGGGGCTTGTGGACTCTTTATCCTGAGTAAGATGGGTGCACTGGAGGGTTCCGAGGTCATCAGAAGGATCACTGGCCGCTGCACAACGGAGAGCTGTGGGGAAGCAAGGATAGAAGCATCTACCACTGGAGGGTCTGCATGAAGCCAAACCTGGGGTTGGGCTTGTCAGGCGAATGAATTACTGCTCAGACCGAGACCAGAGCCCATGCACTTTGCCCTGCACCAGCCTTTTTCTGGTGGGTGAGGCCTCTGGAGACTGGCCTCCCTGGGCCAGGTCCTGAGGGGAGAGTAGGATGGACATAGGAGGACCACTGTCCCTTCCCTCTGCCCCTCATTGTCTCCTTGAGCCGGAACCAGAAAGGTTCTGTTTCTCCTGGGAACCCGCCCCAAGTCTGTCTGGAGGTGTAGGAGGTAGGAGGCCCCAGAAGCCCGCCCAGCTCTGGGCATCAGGGAAGCCCGGGCATGCCAGGGCGTGGCTGTGGTGGTGGGTTGCTAGGTGACTCCAAGAGGGAGCCCTGGTTACTGCTGCCTGGCAGAGGCGTCTCCCTCCTCTGCCTCCCTCACCACCTCTGTGGCCTCTGGCTTCCCAGGAGGCATTGTGGGCTAGCTGTGATTGGCTCTTGCCACTGGATCTTGGCTCAGAGCTCTGATTGGTACCAGGTGGCTGGTCCTTGAGGAGCCAGACTAGACTGCGGAGCCTGGGCTTCCCTCATGGGGCACAGCCCTGGTGCACACCTGATGCAGAGCCCAACTCGGCAGTCAGAGGCCAAGGTCCTCACCTTGCTCTGGGCCTCCTCCCTGGGTGACCCTGGGAAAGGCATGGCATCCATCCGCCCTGTCAGGCTTGCAGAATCCCTCCCGAAGAGGGAGTGCAAGGCGAGTGACGAGCGAGAGGGCTCCAGGCACTTCTGCCCCCTCCCCTGACAACTTAAGTGTGTAACACTCAAGTATTGCATTAGATCCCATTTACAAAAAAAAAAAAAAAAAAAAAGAGCTTTAAAAACAAAAGGTTTCAAAACCTCTGGACTGGATGGTTCCAAGAACTTTCATTATCAAATTAAAAAGGTCCTCAGAGCACCATTGGCCCATCTCATCAGGTACAAGTAGGGAAACTGAGGCCCAGAGCGAGGAGGGACTTGCCCCAGATCCAGCTTGGTGGAGGGGGAAGAGCACCAAGCTAGGGATCCCGAGGCTTGGACTCAGTTTCAGCTCTGCCAGCAGAGCCTCGGCGGCTTTGGGGAGACCTTTCTTCTCTCTGGGTTTGATCAGTCATGGTTTCGGGCTGGAGCTCGGGCACCCGGGGGTACCTGGCTGGGCCGGGGACAGAGAGGGGAAGGATACAAACTGTCATAGGCCTGGAACACATGCTCTTGGTGGTAGTCTGAAACACTTTTATTTGTATTAAGAAAACGTGGATGTATTATGACGTACAATGCAAACTTCCCTTGAATTCTAAAAAGGAAGCGCAAGACTTGTAAGGAATTTTGATCTTTGAATATGCCCCAGTCTTCCCAGGCTACCAGCTTCTGGGAATGGTTACATGGAAAGTTTGAGAAGCACTGGAGTGCTGGCTTCATAAGACGCTTTGGAAATCTTGCAACTCCTCTCTCTCTCCTCCCGGGTGGAATGCGATGTCTTTTAGACTCAGTGAGACTCACCTGAAATCAATACCTGGCTCTGCCTCTTACACTGTGTGAACTTGGCAATGCCCTCCACCTCTCCGAGCCTCACACTCCTCATCTTGAAATAGGGACCACAATCTCTGACTGTGTGGAGTGTGATAAAGTACTTACAAAGGCCCAGAGTTGAACAGGTAGCACTGAGTAGGTGCTGGTACTTGGTGACGTCCTTCCTCCTCCCCCCACCTCTGAGCACTCAGAACCAGGCTGGTACATAAGTGACATTGATCAAGAGGGGTTGCCTGACTGGCCTTCAGCTGGAGAGGCTGGGAGGCGGAGCCTCTGAGCCTGGTGTCCCATTTGGGAAAATGGAGGCCCCTGTGCCCCCCCCCCCAACACAGGTGTGGGGAGGAGCTGGGGAGGCAGGTGCAGAGGCGGGAGCAGGAAAGGGGATGAGTACCTCTCCCTGGAGGGTTCAGCTCCCCTCCTCTCAGGGTCCCAGGAGTAGCCAGGCAGAGCAATGCTGGGAGGGGCCTTGGAGGCCCAGCTGTCACCTCCCAAGGCCAGAAAGTGCCAGAGACAGGGCACCTGGGGCCCTGAAGAGCCAGGTGCTCTGGAGTTCAGGCTGAGGGAGGGTACCCTGGCCGCAGAAAGGACCCTTCCTTCTGGACCCTGATGGGAAGGGGGCAGGAGAGAGGATCCTCACGGATCAGTGATTACAGGGCTGGGTGGATAAAAAGTTAAGAGCAGGTCCATGAGCTGGGCAGATTTGGAGTGGTACCTGGCATTGCTGCCTGTGGGGCCATGGGCAAGTCACATCATGCCTCTGGGCTTCCACTCTCTGGTACCTGAGATGGGTAATGCCAGCTTATTGGTGCCCAGCACAGTTACAGTCAGCATCATATCAAGGAGGTAGAGACAGAGCAGGCCATGGGTGATCTAGCAGGTGAGGGTCTTCTGGACAAGGTGAGGGATTTAACTGTTTATGAGCACCTGGCAAGTTCTGAGGCGGTTATTGAATGTCACCCAGTTTTTTTCAGGGTAGCTCACTAAAGCACTGAGGCTCACAGAGGTTAAGCCAGCAGCCCATGGTCAGATAGCTAGGTGGCTGAAAAGAGCCAGGCGTCCTGATCAGCCTTCTGATACCCAAGCACCTGCTGTTTTCACAGCAATACCTGAGCCAGGAGGTCAAGGTCACTAGGTGGGAGGCCCAATAAGTTCCTGTGAAGTCAATCTAGCTGTGGCCTCCTCTGCCTTCCTCTGTCGCCAGGACAGGCCTGGCAGAAGCAGGCAGTCGTGTGGGGAGCACTACAGACTGGAACAAAAGACATTTAGGATAGGATATGTGCTGGAGTGACAAAGGGTGAAGCCCAGGGAAGTGCCCAGGACAGCAGAAAGGACTGTGTGGCCCTGGGTAAGCCACCGCTCTGAGCCTGGTCTTCTTATCTGTCAGTGGACACTATACCACGTGCTTTGTGGAGATTTGTGAAGATTTCACCAGGAAGGGGCTTTGTAGGGAGGGTGGGCTGCAACCCAAAAGGCAGGCCAGAGAGCTGGGCTGGCTTGAAGGTGGGGCACCAAGCAGAAATGGGATCGGAGGGGGCCTTCCAACCCATGGATGTATTTTGCTGGAGTCCAAGGCCTCTGTGCTTGGATTCCCAGAAGCTCAGAAGAGTTGGGGGGAAATCTCTGAAAAACACCAGGCCTCTCTCTACCCACCTTGGGGATGCCCAACCTGTTCGGCTCTCCCTGGCCAGGCCCTCCCCGCAAAGGGTTAACAGTCTTCTCTACCTGCAGTTGCATTTTAAAGACACGAAATTAAAGCAGGTAATTTATTCTCCCCACACACGAAAGAGCAATTAGTTCTAAACAGGGCTTAATCAGTCACCACGAGATTGATTTCTGGAGCCCTGGGTTTTCGGGCTCCTGGCGCCATGCCAGACTGGGGAAGGAGGGAGGGGGGCGGACAAATGAGCCTCAGCAGCATGAGCCCTTACATAATCTGCTGGGGACGGGCATGGGGGGGGGGGGGGGGGCCGCTGGCAGCCTGGCTAGCTCCGCGGTGGGGCTTGGCTGAGTCAGAGAGGGATCTTGCTCTCCCGCTGCAGACCCCTTGAGAGTAGCCCACGGGGTTGGCGATGCCTCCCAGGAAAGGCCCCGCCCAAAGCTTGGCCCCACCCTCTGGGCAGTGCCTGCGGGGGGCGGGGGCGGGGGAGGGATGAGGTGGTTGTAGGGTCTTGGATGGATATTCTGAGTTTGTCTGACCGGATGCTTACCCCCTGCCTTCCTCACCCCTCATCCCTTCCCCCATTCACCTTTTCATCTTCCCTGTTTTCTCCCCTTCCCCTTTCTGGCTCCCCCCCCCCCCCCTTCTCTTATCCATCTCTTTCTCTATCCCCTCCCCCTCCTCTTTCCATCACTACTTCCCCATCTTTACTCATGGCCTCCTCCTCCTCACTTCCCACTCCCCGACCCATGTCCTTGTCTCTCTGGTCACACAGAACTCCATCCGGCACAACCTGTCGCTGCACACCCGCTTCATCCGCGTGCAGAACGAAGGCACGGGCAAGAGCTCCTGGTGGATGCTGAACCCCGAGGGCGGGAAGACCGGCAAGACGCCGCGGCGCCGGGCCGTGTCCATGGACAACGGGGCCAAGTTCCTGCGCATCAAGGGCAAGGCCAGCAAGAAGAAGCAGCTGCAGGCCCCCGAGCGGAGCCCCGACGACCGCTCCCCGGGCGCGCCGGCCCCGGGGCCCGTGCCCGCCGCGGCCAAGTGGGCCACCAGCCCGGCCTCGCACGCCAGCGACGACTACGAGGCGTGGGCCGACTTCCGCAGCGGCGGCGGGCGGCCCCTGCTCGGGGAGGCGGCCGAACTGGAGGACGACGAGGCCCTGGAGGCCCTGACGCCGTCGTCGCCGCTCATGTACCCGAGCCCCGCGAGCGCGCTGTCGCCCGCGCTGGGGGCGCGCTGCCCCGGGGAGCTGCCCCGCCTGGCGGAGCTGGGGGGCCGCATGGGCCTGCACGGCGGCGGCGGCGCGGGGATGGCCGAGGCCCTGCTGGACGGCGCGCAGGACGCGTTCGGGCCGCCGCGGGCCCGCGCCGCCGGGACGCCCGCCTACTTCGGCAGCTGCAAGGGCGGCGCCTACGGCGGGGGCGGGGGCTTCGGGCCGCCGGTGCTGGGCGCGCTGCGGCGCCTGCCCATGCAGACCATCCAGGAGAATAAGCAGGCCAGCTTCGCGCCCGCCGCCCCGCCCTTCCGCCCGGGGGCGCTGCCCCCGCCGCTGCTGCCGCCGCCGCCGCCGCCCGCGCCCCGCCCCGGCCCGGTGCTGGGCGCGCCCGGGGAGCTGGCGCTGGCGGGCGCGGCCGCCGCCGCCTACCCCGGCAAGGGCGCGGCCCCCTACGCGCCGCCGGTGCCCTCGCGCAGTGCCTTAGCCCACCCCATCAGCCTTATGACGCAGCCCGGCGAGGCGGGCGCCGCGGGCCTGGCGCCCCCGGGCCACGCGGCCGCCTTCGGGGGCCCGCCCGGCGGCCTCCTGCTGGAGGCGCTGCCCGGGCCGTACGCCGCGGCCGCCGGGCCCCTGGGGGCCGCGCCACCGGACCGCTTCCCGGCCGACCTGGACCTCGACATGTTCAGCGGCAGCCTGGAGTGCGACGTCGAGTCCATCATCCTCAACGACTTTATGGACAGCGACGAGATGGACTTCAACTTCGACTCGGCGCTGCCCCCGCCGCCGCCCGGCCTGGCCGGGGCCCCGCCCCCCAACCAGAGCTGGGTGCCGGGCTGAGGATCCGCTCGCTGCGCCCAGGGTGCCAGCCCCGCCCCCCCAGAGGGCCTCTGTCTTCCCATCCCGATCCCCGGGCTCCCATCTCCCCCTGATCCCAGCTCCACCACGGAGGATCCAGGAGACAGCCCCAGCCAGCCCTGCTAGAGACATCTCTCAGAAGTTGGCTGCTGGGGGATGTGGTAGGGAGGGGCTGGGGCACCCCACATTCCTGCCCAGACTCCCTGAGAGCCGCTCCCCCTGCTCCCCGGGCAGGAAGCCTGGGGGTGGAGGCTGAATTCCGGACTGGGTGGGAGTGGGGAGGAGGGAGATGGGCTGCACTGGTTGGAGAAGCCTACCCAGAGGTGGGGGGAGGTGAGCGAGGGAATCTCTGCATCTTCAAGTTTCCTTTGCAGGGGCCCTCGCGGGAGATGGTGAATCGCCTACCCCGAGTGACACTTTCCACCGGTCTTAGCCTACCCACCGAGAGCCAGCAACCCCTTCCAGGAAACACACTCACAGTTACCTATTGGCTGTGCACCCGGAACTGTCCTTAGCCCTGAACCGCCCTCGGACCCTGCACCCTCATGGTCCAATCCATCCTAGCTTCTGCCCTCCTCCCTCCAGTCAGGTGCCCTTTGCAGTCCCTACCACCCCCTCCCTGCTCCCCTCCACCCCGACACACACACTCCCCCAAGAACAGGTCACAGCCTCTCCAGCGGGCCTCAGCTCTAGATCCACACCCCAATCCCAGCACCCCTTTCTCCGTGCCAGTCCCTGCTCCTCTCTCCCATATTTATAAGTGTCGGGGCGGGGCGGGCTGTGGGCGCGGCGTCCCTGGCGCATCTCGTAGGCTGTGTACCGTGGCCGTGCCGTCAGTCAGCGTGTGCGTGTGCGTGTGTGCCGTGTCGAGGCCGTGTAGAGTGCATTGTACAGCATATTTTCATGAATAAAATTGTTTTAAATATTTCCCGCGCCTGGGGCTGGGGGGAGGGGGGAGGGGGGAAGATAAACTGGTAGGGATCCTGGGGCGGGGGTTCCAGGCTGTGAGTCCCCATTGTGGTTCTGTGTCCGAGTATGTGTCAGCGTTCCCTGATGCCTCTCTGCTCAGCATGCATTGGTTAAAAGCCCACTGAGTGTTGGCCGCTGGGGATGTGACTGTGGAGCTATGCACCTGTTTCTTGGGCATGCAGGACGCTTCAGGCCGGGAGGAGTTCTGCCCTGAATAAGCCTCAGAGTTGGGAGACAAGGCACAGATATCTACCGAGAACCTGCAGCGTTAGGTTCTGTATTAGTATGACTTTTGTTCCCATTGTACAGATGGGAAAACAGGGTCAGGAAGGGAAAATGTCTTGGGAAAGCAAGTGGGCCTGTGGACAGGAAGCCTTTGAAGGCACATTTCTATTTGCTTCCAGTCATTCCCTGCTGGGGTGTGTGTGGGGGAGGGGGGAGGGGGGAGGGGCGCGGGGTTTATCAGCCCATGTCCATGGACCTGTTTTAAACCTCTATAGCCTTGCTTTCCTGGTCTAGATTATAGGATAACAGCACCCATCCCATGGATTTCTTGTGAGGAGTAAATGAGAAAAGGTATGTGAACTGATGAGCACAAGTCCTGCATCTTCCCACTCACTCATTCCTCCATGGGAGATTTATTGAGCACCTGCTATGTGACAGTTCCTTTTTTTTTTTTTTTAAGTATATTTTTATTGATTCCAGAGAGGGAGAGAGAGAGAGATAAAAACATCAATGATGATAGAGAATCATTGATTGGCTGCCTCTTGCATGCCCCCTGGGGACTGAACCCGGAACCCAGGCATGTGCCCTGATTAGAGTTTAACCGCGACCCCTGTTCATAGGTCGATGTTCAACCACTGAGCTATGCCAGCCAGGCTGTGATAGGTCTTGTATCAAGCATTGGGACTGCCATAGAAAGCAACATAGGTATATTCTCTGCCCTCAAGAAACTTAGGGGCTGGAGGGGTGCACAGATGATTAAATAGGTGATTATAGATATCAGGGCTATAATGAGTAGAGGAGCCAGGGGTCTGTGATGGGAACAAATAGCATTTATCGCATGCTTGAGGAGTCAGGGCAGAAGCCTGGAGGGAGTATTGTGTCAGTTGAGCCTTAAAGGATGAGTTGGCATTGGAAGGGAAGGGAACGGCATGATCAGAGACCCAGAGTCAGGAGATCATGTGGGCTCCAGAGCCAAAAGCAGTTTAGTGTGGCCAAAATTCAGAGGTGGAAAGCTTACCTGATGAGGGGGAGGCAGATGGGCCAGAGAGGACAGCAATGGGTGGGGGTCAGTGGTCAGGCTAGAGGTGCTGGTCTGACTAAAGTCAGGAGAGAGAGGAGGGCAGTGGGGCTGGAGGGGAAAGGGCGAGTTCACATATAGAGTCACTGGGACAGTTGTGGATTGGATGGGGGTGGGGGAGATGAGGGAGAAAGGAGAGAGAAGTGATGCCTGATTTCTGGTTGGGCAGACAGCTCTCCCCTGAGATGGGGAACTTCCAGGCTGGCAGAGCCCTGGGGAAGATGGTGCACTCAGCTTCAACCAGGCTCAACCTGAGTTATGTCCTGTGGGATTGGGGAGGGATGTTCAGGAGCACATACACGGTGTGAATGGCACTCCCTGGCATTGGGCAACATGCCAGCCTGGAGGGTTCCGCTGGGGAGAGGGGTCAGAAGCCCAGGAAGGTGTCTGGGCTGGAGAGGGAGGTGTTGCCAGTGGCGTGGAGGGTGTGCGGAGTGGGAGGAGCAGGTGACTGAGGTCTGCTCTGGTGAATGAATACCTTAGAACAGCTTGGCACAGGAAGAGGAGCCACTGGCTGAGAAGGAGCGGCCCCATGGAGAGGAGGAAGAAAGAACACTGGGTTCCTAGAATTTGTGAAGAGTCAGGTCCCAGAGGAAATGCCCAGTGCACTTACTTTTCGGAGTCTCACTCTCTTGGTCTGGAAGATGGGCCAATAGCATCTGCCTCAGATTTGTTTTGAGGAGCAAATAAGATTGGAATGACTCTCAGAGGTTATACAACCAGCAAGAGACAAAGCCAGGGTTCTTGCCCAGACTGTGTGCCTCTGATGCCCTGGCTCTGGCCCCTGCTGCCTCCGGGGAAGCAGGGGTGGGGGATGGGGGGTGGCTGAGAGCAGAAGAGCCAAGGAGCCCTGAGCCAGCAGCACCTGGGCAGGTTCTGGGCTCAGTTGGGGGCCAAGACCTCACTGGGGTGTGGCAGGTGTTCTTGCTGGGTGGAGAGCACATGGAGGCTGATGGACCCTCCCCTGGGACATGTGCCCTGGCCCCACCCCACCACCAGAATCTGGGCAGCCCAGCTGGATCTGGGCTCCATATGCGCTGCAAAGCTGCTCCCACCCTGTTTGACGGAGGATAGGCTGCTGGTGTGTGCAGGTCTGTGTGTGTCAATGTAGCCCCATATGCATGTGCGCACGTGTGTGTGTGTGTGTGTATGTGTGTGTGTGTGGAGAATGACAGTGTCTCCATCTCGGTGTGTGTGTGTGTGTGTGTGTGTTGAGAATGACAGTGTCTCCATCTGTGTGTGTGTATGTGTAGAATGACAGTGTCTCCATCTGTGTGTGTGTGTGTGTGTGGGTGTGTGTGTGTGTGTGTGGAGAATGACAGTGTCTCCATTTCTGGGTGTGTGTGTGTGGGTGTGTGTGTGTGTGTGTGTGTGTGTGTGGAGAATGACAGTGTCTCCATCTCTGGGTGTGTGTGTGTGTGTGTGGAGAATGACAGTGTCTCCATCTCTGGGTGTGTGTGTGTGTGTGTGTGTGTGTGTGTGTGTGTGGAGAATGACAGTGTCTCCATCTCTGGGTGTGTGTGTGTGTGTGTGTGTGTGTGTGTGTGGAGAATGACAGTGTCTCCATCTCTGGGTGTGTGTGTGTGTGTGTGTGTGTGTGTGTGTGTGTGGAGAATGACAGTGTCTCCATCTCTGGGTGTGTGTGTGTGTGTGTGTGGAGAATGACAGTGTCTCCATCTCTGGGTGTGTGTGTGTGTGTGTGTGTGTGTGTGTGTGTGTGTGTGTGGAGAATGACAGTGTCTCCATCTCTGGGTGTGTGTGTGTGTGTGTGTGTGTGTGTGTGGAGAAGGACAGTGTCTCCATCTCTGGGTGTGCCCACATGTGCACTCGGAGCCGAGGAGCCCGGGCCTGTGTGAATGGTGTGTGCTGCACGCCTTCCTCCCTGGATGTGTCTGGCTGTCTTGGCGCAGGCCTCTCTCCACCTGCACCTGAGCTGCTGTTCCCCTGCCAGGAGCGCCTTATGGGCTGCTCTGCGGTGGGAGGAGGAGGGAGGGGAGGGGAGCAGAGGGACATTCCCGCCCTGGGATGCGCCAGGCTCTCGAGCAGAGAAGCAGTGAGACCACCTTAATGACTGAGCTTGGCCCGGCTCAGGCTAGTGGCAATTCCAGAGACAGCTCCTGGGCTGGGCCCCATTGGGAGAAAGGGGGCAACACCCCTGCTTCTGGGGTCTGCAACCGGCCCTTCCCTCGCCCGTCACGGAGCCCAGCAGACGCGCCCCCTCCATGCCTATTCCCTGGGAGGCGTCTGACACATGATTTATTCATAAAAAGCCATTATTTGTGCCAAAGAAGAACTGAGCTGCTCGCTTTTTAAGTGCTGATAATGCTCTCAGCCTCCTTGCCTCTCCTCTCCCATTCCCTCCCCTCTTTTCTCTCTTATCTTCTCTCTCACCTCCTTGGGACTTCCCATCCTTTCTCCACCCCCTCTCTTTACCCTCCCCCCTCCTGGTCTCCCTCTCTAGCCCTTTATTGTTCTCCTCAAGCCTCCTCTCCTCCCATTTTATTCTCTCTTCCCACCCCGTGTACCTCCTCCCACTTCCGCTCTGTTATTAGGGGTGTGAGGCTGGGTCATTGGAGGTTGGAACCAGTTGTCCCAGGTTGGGGAAGGCCTACGCCAGCCAGGAGCCCGGTGGACTGCACCCACCACCTCAGCCTTCCCCCTCTGCAGGACTAGGGGAGGGTCGGGAGGAGGGGAGCAGGCTTAGAAAGAC